CTCTCTCTTTCCTCCCCCCCTTCTCTCTCTCTCTCTCTCTCTCTCTCTCTCTCTCTCTCTCTCTCTCGCACGCACGCGCGCGCGCGCGCTCGCTCGCCCGCTCCCTCCCTCCCTCTCTCACGCACTCGCCGCTCCTGTTATGATCGTTTGACTACTGTACACGCTGACCCGAAATGAGTTGGATGTTTTTGATTATAGGAATGGTTGCAACGCACTGTGGAAAAGGTTGACGAAGTTCTTCGCGACAATTGCCGCAAGTTTGATACCAAATCTTATGCGATGGTGAGTTTGCTATTCTGTCCCCCGTTTGTCCTACTCGAGTTAGGGTTGTACTCATTATTATAGTGATTGTCCTCTTTTATTCAGTCTATAGAGTAGTATGTTGTAGTATAGACTATGCGCTCTATGCTCACACGGAAGGCCTGTCTGCCGTTTGTGTGTTCTCTTCTCCGTCTCTGATAATATGGAATGGTTATTCTCGTCGTCCTATCGTTCTTGTGCAGCTGGTCTTCCTTACCTTGAGTACACCCAAGTAAGCAAGATCTTTAGGGATTACGGTTCTTGTTATGATATCGACCTGCTTGCTTGAGTGTACTCAAAGATGAGGAAGACCCACAAGCAATCAAGGTCTTGTGCATCTGATCTCTCTCTCTCTCATTTCGATAACTACTACGGTCTTCCCCCGATCATAACCAGTGTTTGAAAAAAAAGCCTTGATGATCTGAAGAAAATGCATATGCGTTGTATTCGGACACAGCAGCTGTTCATATAGAACACATCTGTTGCTTCAAATAGAAAGCAAACTATGCGCTGTGTCGTTTACAACACACATGTTCGGGGGGAAGACGGTAGCCTGAGTATCATTCCATTTTTTGATATTGAAGACCCTATAAACCCTTTACGGACTTCAGGGGGCTTACCATGATGGATTCTGGCTTTTCTTTTTTGTTTTTTCTTTGAAAGGGCGGCCGACCGCCTTGAGATGTCCTCGTGAAACTGACCCACCCCTCCCCTCCCCCCTTGGTAATTCAGGAGCTTCGTTCATCTAGTTTCCTCAGGATTCGATCTCAGGTCTGTTTTTCAACAGTTGGGAGTTGTACCCACTGGGCTAGGCTTGTTGGTATCGATTGATGCTGGCTTCTCTTATTGGCGAAGTAGAAAAATAAAAAATAAAATGTCAGCAAACAATCGTATGTGGAAATGATGACTTGTGCGCCCACTCCAGACACCAGATATGTTTTTGTTCTCCCTGTGCAGATGTTATTAACCAGGTTCATAACACTGAAGCGTCGATTTTCCACCACCCGTCCGGTTCCTGGCTGTTTTGTTCCTACGCAAACGATGCATACCCCGACGGTCGGCGCCCCTTGACTGGTCGGATGCACCGACACCCCCATGCCCGCCCCCTATGCCCGCATACACCCCCTCAAAACCGCCAAACCGCCCCCCCAATATATACCACCCTATACACCCCCGTATACCCACCCACATCGTACCCCATCACCAAAAGTTTATCAGTGAATTTGGTCTGTACTCAGCAAGCGCAGTACAGCCCCCAACTCAGATTTGAAAAAAAATCAGTGGATGACTATTTTCTGACTGGTCGGCAGACCGCCGTCCGGTTGGCCCAACTGGTCGGCTGCAAAACGGTCGGCGGTTGGGGTTGGCGGTTCGGCAGCTATGCAACCCTGCCCTACATGGCGATTAACCTGTTGCAAAACTGCAGGCCAGGCCTACTGGGGTTGGAAAAGGCTGGTGTTGCCAGGCAAATTGGTAAATCACGCCCTGCCCAGGTTGCGAAGGAATTGACGTGTGGCGGAAATTCGACGGCAGGGCAAACAAAAAAAGAAAGGACTCATGGACAGGCTGGCGGTTTAAGATATCGATGTGCGCAGCTGTCCCGGGGTCTTTTATCTGAACTTCACTCAAAGAGAGAACGAAACGTCTGTTCTTTTTTTTTGTTTTTTGTTGGGTCAGGAGTGGATGTGTGTCTCTGTTTACTACTCGCAAGTGAAGCTGATATCTCTCTGTTGATTGCCTTTTTTCTGTGTCGGTGACATCATAACAAATAAATAAACAAACGAACTGGGCTAGTTGCCTTGAGGGGCCCGTGCGTCCCGGGCAAGTCGGCTGGCTGCACAGGGCACCCCATGAACCTGGGCATGTGTTCGGGCACAAGTTTGGTACCCGGGCTTCCTGCAAAACAGCCTAGCAAATAAATAAATAAACAAATAAATAAATAAATAAATAAATAAATAAATAAATAAATAAATAAATAGATGAAATACATAAATAAATAGGCGGATAAATAAACTAAATTACGAACCGGGTGGCGTGCGGGGTCTTCAGGGTCTGCCCGTGTCCCGTGGGGTGGGCTTGGCCGGGCAAGGTCTGGGCACTCCCTGTGTAAAAAAAAGAAAAGAAGATGAAAATTCTCAAAAAATAAAATAAAATTGTAAACTGATAGTACGAAGTTACGAACACGTTTTGGCTGAAGGTCCTCTCCAAACTCCCTCTAAACAAATAATTCAATGGCCTTGACCGTGCGTGTTTTCTTGGTGGCTGCCCGTTTCTATCCGACAGGTGATTGATGGGTACGCAGTGATGGGAGATGCTATGGGACTTGCTGATAAAGTCCAGAGTTTTTTTGCGCAAAGTATTGTGCTGATGACACATGATGTGCTGAAGTCGTTCGCTGTTCAGGTAAAAATAGTGAAAACACCTAGGCTACCAGCCGGGCCGCCCGGGTCCCGGGTGGCCAGCCCGTGCAAGGATCAGGTAAGGTCCCAGCAAAAAAAAAAAAAAAAAAAAAAAAAATCCAAAAATCCTGAAAAAAAGTATGTTATGCAGAAAAATAAACTGAACAACTTTTGCCTCAGGGTCACATCGAAATTCTTCACCAAATTTAAAGTAAAAAATAAAATTAAAAAATATTTTATTTATTTTTATTATTTTTATTTATTTTGGCCCGGCCGGGCAAGTGACCCCGGGCCACTCTGGTAGCCTAGGAATGCGCAATGGGCAATAGTGAGTACCTCAAAGAGACACAGCATCTCACACAAATGGAGACACATCATTCGCACATCACAATCCACTTCTACAGCAAAAACCAAAGGCGGGTATTAATAGGAAATATTAACATCATAAGCCACCGCCACCACCCACTGACCATCACACCCAAATCTCCGCCATCTCTCCGGTCAAAACCCAAAGGCAGCATACCGACTATTCCTGCAGCTGCTAGGAAAACACTGAAAAGTCTTTTTTTTTTTTTTTTTTTTAATAATGAAAAGTCGTTGAAAAGAAAATGAGCGAATTAAAAAAAAAAAAAGTGAGCATTGCGAAGAGCTCTAAGAGCGCCATTTGTTTATGACATATTCGAATAATAATCAAATACTTGCGAGGCACAAGGCCTCAATACACCCCTACAGGGCCCCATTTCCAGTACAGTCGGCCGCCCTAAGTGAAGGCAGGCCCCACCGAGGCCTACAGGCCTATTTTGGGGTCAACCTGCAACTGGGGAATTTCAGGCAGTTGCGCAGCGCCAGTTGGTTGAAGGCGCCCAGGCCCTGGCTTCCTTTTGTCAAATGTATCTAAGTCGGGCCCTGGGAGAGATACCCAGGATGGACCCAGCACAGGCTGTGAGCAGTTGGGCACGAGTAACTGTCGGAGGCCCTGGGCCTGTTTTGTTTGGACAGAGGCTCAGCCTCCCTGGGCCTACCGGAAGCTTCTGTGCCGAGGTCCAGTACCTCAACACAGCACGCAGCAGCAGGCCACTTCAATATAGGGAAGGGCCCACTCACGCATTGGTCATTCGGGCACTGGCTGCTTTGTGCTCAAGCGCTGCTGGGCTATCCCCTGCCAGGTTCACGCGCTCGCGGGCGAGCTGGAAGGAGCAGGCAGCCATAGCCGAGCTGCGCTGCTGTATGCTGGATGGGGCGCGCATGGTGGTCCTTGGGTGCAAGTGGCATCTGTGAGTTGGGGAATGAGGTTGTGAGTGATACGAGAGACATACCTGGTGCTTGACGCGTGCAGCATTGGCCGAGATCTGCTCGTACTTGGGAAGCTGTTGACGACATCAGCGGCATTGTAGTCTAGGCTAGAAAGGATCTGCCATTCGTAGTCTGGCCATCGAGAGCCAGATAGGATTTTAACATTGGTTCTTTGTTGATGATGATGAGACTGTTCCAGCATTGTCAATTATGAGCTTTTGGTGTGCTCTTATTTGGTGAAACTCGTGATGCAATTCTGCTATTGGTTCGAGGTCACGACTATCTGGTCTCATGTGTATGATGCTGTTTGATTGCTGAAGTTCGCTATTGCTCATCTTCCTTGCACAATTCAATACTTTCATATTAGAATCAATGATTATTTAGGCTACTAGAGTGGGCCGGGCCCACTTGCCTGGCTGGGCCAATGTGTATATATACATCCACGTGGGCGGCCTTGTACGAAGAGGTTCTGAACAGGGGGAGTTGTAAGGAAGAAGATATTTCTGTTTTTGCGCTCTGATAACTTCGTGATAATATATAGTTCTATTTGACGATATATATATGTTTGTGACGATTCTGTTGGATGATATATCTATTTGACGATATATACAGGGTCACCAGCCCGTACGTACGGAGGTCCCCGGGCAGACCGTACGTACGGACGCTCGGGGTCCCGTACGGGGTCCGAACCCGACGGCGTTCGGCCCCCGCAAAAAAATATTTCGGGGCCTAAATATATATATATTTTTCTGATTTTTTTTTGGTGAGTTCTCTATGACGTGAGGTACATGCCTATAAATTTTCAAGTCATTTGGCTCAGCCAAATAAGAATTAAAAATCGCCAAAGATGGTGGTGTCAAAACGTGCTCGCCCACATTTTTTTTTCACTTTTTACTTTTTATTTTCACTTTAGTTCGGGGTCTAAACAATTTTATTATTTTTTGAAACTTTTTTAGTGGGTTTTGCATTATGTGAAGTACACCTGTAAATTTTCAGGGCATTTAGCTGTGCCAAAAAAAAAAAGAAAAATCGGCAAAGATGGCGGTGTCGAAAATGTGCTTGCGCACTCACTAAATTTTAGTTCCTTTTTATTTTTTGTTATTTTTCTAAATTTTCTTATTAGTATTTGTTTTTCGTATTATATTTTTATTTTAAATTTGGTAAGGAATTTGGATGTAATGCTCAGGCAAATCTTGTTTAATTTATTTTTCTTCATAACATATATATTTTTAAGATCTTTTTTTTTTTGGATTTTTTTTTTTTTTTTTTTTTGGGTCCGCGTTCGGCTAATGGCCGAACGCATCCTCAAGGGGTCCCATACGTTCAGGCGTTCTGGTTCGGGTGTTCGACCCGTCCCGAACGCCGGTTACCCTGTTTGTATATATCAGCCTCCTGATGAGTCGGTGAAACTCCGACGAAACAGTTTGTCACAGCCCCTCGTTTGTTGTCCTCTTCTCTCTCTCTGCCTACGGCTTACCGGGCAGTTCTGTTTGTGACGATATATATATATATGGGCCGAACGGCCGAACCCGAACGCCCGAACGTACGGGACCCCTTCGGAAAGCGTTTGGCCTTTCGGGCCGAACGCGGACCGGAAAAAAAAACAAGAAAAAAACAAAGTTTTCAAAAAATTCCAAAAAAAACATATGTTATGGAGAAAAAGAAACTAAACAACATTTGCCTGGGCACTACATCCAAATTCTTTACCAAATTTGAATTAAAAATCAAACACAGAAAATAAACACTATGATAAAAATAAGAAAAAATTCTAAGCGAATTAAAATGAGTGAGTGTGCCAGCACCTTTTCGACACCACCATCTTTGCCGATTTTTAATTATTTTTTGGCATTGACAAATGCCCTGAAAATTTACAGATATGTATTCCCTAATACTCTAAAGCAAAACGCGGGTCTCGCGTGACGCGTCCTGCTGAGACCTTCCCCGCGTGGGCCCGGTGCACGGTGGGCCCGGCGCGGTTTTTTGTTAAGGGCCGTTTTTTTTTTTTGGGTTGGTGTTGGCGCGGCTTCGTGGGCCCGGCGGGGTTTTCTGTTTACTGCCATTTTTTGGGGGGGCGGTTGGTGTAGGCGTGATTTTATTTTGCTACCGTTTTTTTTGCGCCGCACCGGGGGCGGTTGGTGTCGGCGCGACTTTATGAACGGGCTCTTTTTTCGCTAAGGTTTTGTCGGCCATGTTCAACCAGGTAGTGAATATTTCCATGTTCTAGCCGAAGATTCATTGGATGTTGCTCATCCTATCGATGGAAGTAGCATGGCGCGAGCCGCGAGATCGGAGAGTTATCGTCTCTCTTTCTCTCTCTCTCTCTCACACACACACACACACACACACACACACAC